ATAAACATGGGTGTGCATATATCTGCTTCGATGTCAGTTATAGTCTCTTTGGGATATACTTCCAGTAGTGGAACTGCTGGGTCAAATAGTATATCTATTTGCAACTTTTTGAGAAAGCGCCATACCGCCTTCCACAGGGGTTGCACCATTTTACACTCTCACCAACAGTGAATAGGGGTTCCAGTTTCTCCACAACCTCATCAGCATTTGTTGTTTGCTGTTCTGTTAAATTTTGCTATTTTCACTGGGGTGAGATGATATCTCATATTTGTTTTAGAGTACAGAATCTATTTAGTGGTTTAATTAGTAAATATTTATTGGGTGTACTCACCAGGAAACTTTTTCACTGTCACACTATAATGAGAAGTGATCACTATATAATGATGCATTAAAAGGCAGATGGGTGAGGGATATTGGACCAGATCTTTAAAAGTGACTGGGCATAGATTTCTAGGCTGAAGGGTTAGCTATGGGTCGGTTCTGACTCTGGTACAGAACAACAACAATATATGTGGGGGAAGGGGAACTTTGGTGGCTTACTGGTAAAGCGTTGCAAAGAGTTGTGCTCCCAACCCACAGGCATTTGATTCAAATCCTACCAGCTGCTTCTTTGGAGAAAGTTGGCTATTCTCCTTTTATGCAACTTACTGATTCTGAAAACCCACTTGGAGGCTCAGCTATGAGTTGATTCTGAACTGATGGTGCACTCTAACAACAACAACAACAATATATAGGGTGCTCTGGTGGCCTAGTGGTAAGAAGCTGCACTGCAATCCCAAAGGCATGTGGTTTGAATCCACCAGCTACTCCACTGACAAAGGATGGGCAATCTTCTCCCATGTGATTTGCTGCTTCTGAAAACCCACTGGTGAATCAGCTATGTGAGGTTCCAACTCGAAAGTGCAACGCTGGGCCAAAAGGCAACATTATGATAAATAGAGAAAAGACTGAAGTTGCCAATGATTTAATACTACTTGGATCTACAATTCCTTGGTATTGGAAGTCAAGATCTCAAAAGATGAGTTGCTTTGGGAAAGTTTGCTGTCAGAGACCTCTCCAGAGTATAAAAGAGTAATGATATCAGTTTAAAGACTAAGATGTGACTGATCTAAGCTGTGGTCTTCTCAATTGCTTGTTATGCATCTGAAAGTTGGATAAATAATGAATAAGGATGACAGAAAAGAATCAATGCCTTTGAGTTGTGGTATTGGAGAAGAGTACTGAATACCTCATGGATGATTGTCAAAAAAGAAACGGGTCTGTCTTGCAGATGTGAAATCAGGGTGCTCCCTGGAGGCAAGGATAGTGAAACTTCATCTCACATACTTTGGGCATGTTTTCAAAAGGAGCCAGTTCTTGGAGAAAGACATCATGGTTGGAAAGGTGGAGGATCAGTGTAAGAGATGAAGGCCCGCAACAAGATGGGTTGACATGGTGACTGTAACAATGGGCACAAGTGTGATAGAGTTGGTGTAGAAAGCACAGGACAGGGCTAGGTCCCGATCTGCTATTTATAAGGTCACTAAAAGTCATAGCTCACTGGAAGGCACATACCAACAACCAGTAGCCTAGTGGATAAGGAGCTGCACTGCCAAACCAAAGTAGTTCGAATCCACTGGTCACTCAGTATGAGAAAGATAGGCAGTCTCCTCTTGTGTGATTTATAGCCTCTGAAAATCTGCTTGAGGATCAGCTTTGATTCTGTTCTTACACAAGAGTTTTGTTTTGGTTTTTTAAAAATTTTTTTATTTTTATTTATTTTGTTTTTAAATTCGATAAAAACATCTACAGAGATTTTGGAATTCCATTCATTCATTGTTGCACTTTTCTCCCCGCCCACCCCACCCCCACAAGAAAAACTCCTTCATTGGTACATAATTCCACCCCCCACCCCACCCCCCGCAGTAAATTTAAATTGAGGAGCTCTGGTGGCCTAGTCCATAGGGAGTTGCACTGCTATCCCAAAGGTGCACCTCTCCAGTGGCTCCAAGGGAGAATGATGGGCAGTCTCCTGTCCTGTAATTTATAGCACCATAATTTATTCATGGGAAGAAAAATGTGGCAGTCTAAAGATTACATTCTAAATATTTCCACTTTGGATATCCTATCTGCTAGGGTGACTCTGTCTAGATTAATTTTTGCCTTATTTTAACCTTCCTTCCTTTTCATCTAAAGGGATAATCTCAAATTCTGAGTCAGCCGACTGAAGACAAATTGAGGGAAGGTATATAGCAGCAGCAATATCTGCTGGAAGATGGAGCTCAAAAGTCTTAAATTGCCCTTTAGAGTGTCTTGCAATTAAGTTGTAGAGAAGCAGAACGTAGGGGGGGGGGGGAACCAAAAAAACACAACCACAGTTAAGTGCCATTGAGTTGAGTACAACTCATAGTGACCCTAAGAACAACAGATATGAACCCTGTTCTCTCCTGTGCCAATTTCACAATCTATGAGACACTTTTCCGCAGTCACTGTGTCAATCCACCTGGTTGAGGATCTTCCTCTCCTTCGCCACCCCTCACCTTTCCAAACATTATGTTTTCCTCCAAGGAGTAGTCTTTCCAGCAATACCCATAAAGCAGCATGCAAATCATCTGTGCAAATAAAATCAATCAAAGCATGCAAATCAACAGGCACCAAAAAAAGGGCAAAGTCCGCAGCACTGTGGGCATCACGAGTGCACCAGTTTCTGTGAGTAGAACAGTATGCTCTTTTCCTTTTGTGGAAAAAGAAGTAACTTCTCTTAACCTGCCAGTGGAATAAACGAGAACTGTGAACTATCAAGTGAGAGTCTAACTCTGTCAACAGTGCAAGCTAGAATGGTCAAAGAAATCGTCATGGAGCTGAGACTTAAATTAGATTTCGTAGGAAGGGAACGATTGAGAGAATAAGGTTTGAGGAAGATAGTTCAGACAGAAATGTGTGGAAATGTATGACCCTGTGGAAAGGTTGCCAAGGTGAACTAACCTTGAGCTGATCAGTGTAGGTGGCAAAGATTCTGGGAAATCTCCCCGCCCCTCTTCCCTACACTCTTATCCCCCACCTCCCCGCGAATGTTTTATAGGACCTGCTTCCCTGAGAGGAAAGCGCCTACTTTGAGACAATAACTGGATTTGGTTTTCTTTCAATTGAGGGACAGGGAGTGGAGGACAAGAGTAGGCGGAGCCAACGAGAATAGGCGGGATCACTCGGACCCTCCCAGTAGTGACTGGACGCCAGGCGAAGGGGCGGGGCTTCCGGCAGCGGCCGCGCTCGAGCGTCGGGTGACGCTAGGCGGACGGGTCATCACGTGACACGGAAGTGACTCCGAACAGGAAGAGGACGAAAAAAATAACCGTCCGCGACGCCGACCCGAACCGGACCTAAAGCCACCATGAACAGCAAAGGTAAGCATAGGGGGCGGTCTAGGCCGTTGGGAGGAGTAGAGGTGCCCCGGAATGAGCGGTTTTCGAGCCTATGATCATCAAACGCCAGAGGTGGGGCTGACTGCGCTGCGACTCTGAGCCGGCTGCAGCTTTGGGCTGCCCCTGATGCCTTTATCGTTTCTGAACTACAGCTGTTCGCCTCCTCCCGGCCTTTTTTCTCCTTAAGCCTTTGTGGCGCAGTTTGGAGCTGCGGGCTCTGCTGGGGTGAGGTTGGGGGGGGGGTGTTCTTCTCGTGAAGAGCACTTACAGGAACAAATGGGGAGCTAGTGCAGGGATTTGGGTAGACCAATGGCGAGGCCGTGGGGGCGGGACGCCGCGCCGCGCTCCGGAACTACCGGCAGGCCCCCATCCTTAACTAATGAGGTGCCGGCGCTGGTCCGCTAGGCAGAACGTTTAAATGTCCCTCTTCTCATCTCTTTCTCGCCACCTTGCCCTTTGCTGGTGGACCAGAATTTTCCCCATACTTGTACTCGTGTGCTTTATAGTCGTGGAAGAGCATAGAACCAATCACCTTCAGCCTCTTTAGCCAAAACTTGCCCGCGCAGCCTGCTTGGATCGATCGTGCACCCCCGCCTTCAGCCCTTTACCATCTCCCTGCTGCCCCGTTTTGGGCGCTTATTTCCAACATTCGTGTATGTTGAGTTTGACCTTGACTTGAAATCCTTGAGATGAACAGTCACCATCAACCTTAAAGTCAGCCCTATAGAGAGAGACTACCTAACCGTGGCAGGGGCAAGATGAAGTCCTTGAAAGCTCACCAAGCCTGAATCCCAGGAATTGGTGCCTAGCCTGCCTTCATTCCAAAAGAATTTGGATCCAGCTAGACTTTGTCCTTAAATTAGTATGCTAGCAGGAATAGGACCTTTCCTGTCTAGTCAGAATTTAGCACTTTTAAGCTCTAAGGTTGCAAAGAGAGTGCTTATTTTCTTGGCCCCAGGAATCATTCTGTTTGCAAATCCCTAACTGCTTTTACCCACTTGTTCAATGTGACCTGCCCTATTTGCATGGTAGGCAACACTTTTTTTTTCCTCCTCCTTGTGTCTTTCAGGTCAATATCCAACACAGCCAACCTACCCAGTGCAGCCTCCTGGGAATCCAGTGTATCCTCAGACCTTGCATCTTCCTCAGGCTCCACCTTATACTGATGCTCCACCTGCTTACTCTGAGGTTCTTCCCATTTACTAGACTTGAGCTAGTTCAGAATACAGTTGGACCCCATTTTCAGTTCTTGATTCAGTCTGACTTACGCATTTTAATCTTCACAAATTAAGTGCTCACGTGCAAAAAGCCGTATAAACATACAGTTCCTTAGTTTTTTGGGGGTTTGAGAATATGTCATATGATTATTTGTTATTTGGCACAGGCTGAAGTTAAGATGAGCTTGCATTCCTTGAGTCTGTCACAAGGAAGTAAGCAGGAAAGTGTTGAGTGGAAGTGGAAAGGCATTTTGTGTAATTATATAGTGTTAAATTGCTCACAAATTATGGCTCATTGATGAGATTTTAAATAGGAATGTTATAAAGTAACACCCTTCTTTTCTGCCTTTTTTAGCTCTATCGTCCGAGCTTTGTGCACCCAGGGGCTGCCACAGTCCCTACCATGTCAGCTGCATTTCCTGGCACCTCACTGTATCTTCCCATGGCACAGTCTGTGGCCGTTGGGCCTTTAGGTTCCACAATCCCAATGGCTTATTATCCAGTTGGTCCCATTTACCCACCCGGTTCAGCAGTGCTGGTGGAAGGAGCGTATGATGCAGGTGCCAGATTTGGAGCTGGAGCTACTGCTGGTAACATCCCTGTGAGTATGACTTCATTAGGAAAAAAAAATAAATACAGTCCTCCTTACATAATTTTCTGAAATTACCTTGCATTCACCCTCTTAACCATCCCTGGTTCCCAGTATTCTTGCAACCACTGACATCTGGTAGTCTAGAAAGTGGTTGAGAGGACAGAACTGTGGCAGGTTAGCACATTTGTCAGAGGGATCATAGTGATGTTCTCAGCTAATCTGGTTCCCTGTCTTAGAAGTCTTTCATGCTACATTAAGCAAATAATTCCTTGTGACTAGTTATATAGTCACTTTTGGTTGCTGTGAGGCTGAACACTGTGAGACTGCTGTGTCAAATGCGTTGATGATTGGCTACCCAATGCGGACAGAGAGTGGGGTGGAGCTCCCCGATTAAAACAAGCTTGGAAGGAGGAGTGGCATCCACTTCCTTAATAGCTTGCCTCCAGAAACCCTGTGAACCTGGAGAGAGGATGAAAGGCACCCAAGCATCAAGGACTCTCCTTCATAGGGTTGCTGAATTGCCTGCAACTCGACAGCTCTTAACAACAACAAACATCAGTTATATTGAACTTGTCTTTTATTAATTCCAGAAGCATGTAGTTAATATCTGCTATCACTATCTAGCTACCCTAATTTTAAAAAGCAGAATGCAAAAGTAACATTTAGAAAGAGCAATACTATTGGCTAATCCTGTTTCAGAATAGTAGAGTTGTGCTGTTATATTTCCTGCTTAGTTCTCCTGAGTATGGGGTTTAAAAGCCCAACAGGTGGGTTTTTTTGAGGACCACCTGCCCAGTAATCATATGCTACGGTGACTCCAGAGTTCAGCTGCAAGTCAGTGCCTTTAGATGTCTCCCTGAACACCTGATCTACCTCTGGCTTTCACTAGTACCATTGGCAAACTTAAAAAAAGAAGACATATGCTAGCGGAAAGCTGAAAATTATGTCTTCAGTGGTCTGTTTGAAAACTGTCCCAGCACCTACTAGGAAAGGGCTAGATCTGGCAACTTACGACTCTCTACCCTGAAGATAACTGACCATAAACTGTCCCTTTTTATTAGAAAGTATCCATAGGCTTCTTTTTGGACCTGGTACCCTTTAAATGAGTGATAGGTTCTCTTTACTGTTTTTATATTGGCTTCACAGAGAATATAGACCTGGTTTAGAACCCAAATTGGTGGCAGAACTAGCTCCACAAAATGCTATTGGTCTGTACATTGCCATCATCATAGTGGGCCTTCTGATTCACCTGTGTCCTTTTTCCCTTGTCCTTTTCTTTCAGCCTCCACCTCCTGGATGCCCTCCCAATGCAGCTCAGCTTGCAGTTATGCAGGGAGCCAACGTCCTTGTAACTCAGCGGAAGGGAAACTTCTTCGTGGGTGGCTCAGATGGTGGCTACACCATCTGGTGAGGAACCAAGGCCACTTCTGTGCCGGGAAAGACATCACATACCTTCAGCACTTCTCACAATGTAACTGCTTTA